GCGGGGAGCGGGGAGACCGCAGCCCGGTCCTTGCGCGGCGCCGGGGCCGTCCTGCCGGCGGGCCGGAGGAGCCGGGAGCCGGCTCAGTCAGCCGGGCCTGCCCCCTGCTGGGCCGCCAGTCGGACGTCCAGGTGGGCTGCAGGCAGACAAGGCTCTTTGGGTAAATGGGAGCTCTTTCCCAACACTTCGAGAACTTGTTCTTTGCAAGGTTTCGGGCACAATTAATCACCCGTCTTGAGGCAGAGGGAGAAGGAGAAGCTGCCGGTGTTTTGTGCTCTCCTGGCTGGGATGAAGCCAACACGCTGCGCGCACAAGTGCAAGTGCAGACGCGTGGACGGACAGGCTGCTTCTCCGGCATCCGAGCCCGATGCTCCGCCGACCTCAGCCTGCCGCGGGGGAACCCGTTGCATGACCAAGCGGAACCGGACAACAGTGCAATGGGACTACATAGGAAAGGAAAGAACTGGCTGAGCACAACCGGGCTGTAAAGGTAGCAAACAGCATCAGGTAGCTCTCGCCAGGGTTGAAGGCGGCTCCCACCTTCACTGCGCCTCCATAAGGACCGTGAACAAAGGTGTCATTGTCACTTCCTATTACTATTTGCCACCAGGGCGTTCACTGAGCCTGTGCTCGTTGAGTATAGCCGGCCTGTGGCAAAATTCTTTTTTCTGAGTCTCTCTGCTGCCTCAGGAGGACTTTATAGGTAATTTATGGCAAAGAGGAGGTTGAGAGGGATTTGTAGGGACTCATTATTTACTCTCTCTCCTGATATAAGAACTAGGGGACAAAATGAAGCTAGTAGGTAGTAAGTTTAAAACTAATAAAAGTAAGTTTTTTCACAGAGTGTGTGACTGAAGCATGGAATTTGTTGCCCCTAGATGTTGTCAGCAGTTTAGCTAACGGTTTAGCCAGGTTCAGAAAGGGATTGGACAAATTGCTGGAGGAATAGGGCATTACTACTAGGCGGGGCCAGATTAACCCTTGAGTGGGCCCTAGGAAAACAAACTCATGGGCTCCCAGTTGAAGATGAAATGTTTATATTACTTTTTTCACTCAATAATTATAATATGTAAAATAAGAAGGGGCCCAGTTGTGCTTCACTTAGGGCCCCAGGCATGTGCCTAGTTTGCCTATGCGTTAATCTGGCTCTGGTACTAAGTATTGAGCCTGGGAATTAGGGATACAGCCTCTGACTCAGAACTTCCTAGACCTTAAATGCTGGAGATTGCTAGTGGGAGAGGAACAGTGGAGAAAAACCCTGGTCATACCCAGTTCACTCTCCCTTTCAATATCCACTCTCTGCCACTGTGACAGGATACTGGGGGACATGGACCATGATCTGACCCAGTAAATGGTAATTCTTCTGCTCTTATTTATTATTTCTGTTACAGTAGACTCTCCCACTCCTTCTCTCCCTCCCTTTGTCTTGGTCCTGTTCATGCAAAGCAAGAGAGCCCTTGCCTTGAAAAACTTAGAAACCACATAGACAGCAGGACTATAGTAACAAGTAGGCTGACCCATGTGATGTTTTGTGGGTGTTGTCAGAGTGTGACCATTGTTTTTTGATTTTGGCAAGAGGGTTTTTTGGGTGCAGTTTTGTTAGCTGGGATTAACAAAATGAGGAAGATGAGGGAGGTAAGTGAGGAAGCTAGGAAAACAGAAGAGCCAAATATGGAGGGCAGTAGGAGTTGGCTGATATGAAGAGAGATGGTGGAGGGGTAAGGACTGGAACAAGCAGCCAGTAAGCAGATGGGGAAAGAATGCTAAAAATTAAAACTGTAGTTGAGTATCCTGACCTCATCTGTCTCTGAAGTTTCCTATTGCAGCTGCTTCTGTCTCTGCTCTGCTAGTTTTGTCCAACTCAGCTCCTTCCTGGACTGACTCACCAGAACTCGCACGCCTGGGGTGAGTTGGAATTGCATGAGTCTGCACTGCACAGTTCAGGGTCCAGAGATGGAGGAGGACACAAGAAGAGGTCATCCTAGCCAAATTGTACTTTCCTTTCTCCCAAGCATTCTGTTTATGCTGTTAAATGCCATGTTTTCCCATATACAACATGCATCTTCCCCCCCCAAAACAAACTGCTGCAAATTGCAGTGTGCATTTATATGTGAAAAATATAGTAAAGAGCAGTTTCTGACTCGCCAGGCGAAAAGCAATATTAAAATTTGAAGGGGAATCATTGGGAGCAGAACAATTGCCAAGCTCAGCTCCCTAGTGGCTGCAACTCGGGCCCCTGGTAGAAGTTACACTTAAGACATGATGAACTCATTAATCACGCCTTAAGTGGTAGCCTGGCCACATATTCAAGCAATTAATGGCATGGTTGGGAAAATAAGATACAAAATTATTATCCATCATTAGGGATCTACTCAATTTGCAGTTTTGCAGTTCTTGTGGAAACTGCAACTATGATCACTGCAAAAACTGGTGTTTCCCACCATTTTCATAGATTTCATAGACATTTGGGCTGGAAGGGACCCCAGAGGATCATTGAGTCCAGCCCCCTGCACAGGGGCAGGAAGTCAGCAGGGATCATAGGATCCCAGCAAGATAAGCATCCGAAAGTGTCTTGAAGCCATTCAAAGTGGGTGCTTGAACCGCCTCCGGCAGCAGTCTATTCTAGACCTTGGGGGCTCAGACAGTAAAGAAGTTCTCCCTTATGTCCAGCCTGAAATAGTCTCAGAGGAGTTTGTGACCATTCGATATTGTCATCCCTTGGGGTGCTCTGGTGAGCAGACGTTCCCCCAGATCCTGGTGAACACCCCAATAAACTTATAGGTGGCCACCAGATTGCCCCTGAGCCTGCGCTTTTCCAGGCTGAAGAGTCCAATTGCTTTCAGCCTCTCATTATAAGGTCTGTTTTCCTGACCTCTGATCATGCATGTGGCTCTTCTCTGGACTCTCTCAAGCTTCTCCACATCCTTTTTGAATTGTGGAGCCCAAAACTGGACACAGTACTCCAGCTGCGGGCTCACCAAGGCTGAGTACAATGGGCGAATGACGTCCCAGGATTTGCTTGAGAAGCATCTATGGATGCAAGCCAGCATTTTGCTCACTTTACTAGCTGCAGCATCACATTGATGGCTCATGTTCATCTTGTGGTCAATGGTGACCCCTAAGTCCTTTTCATCTGTAGTGCTAACCAGCGTAGCACTGCCGAGCCTATAAGCATGCTGCAGGTTTTTCCTCCCAAGGTGGAGAACCTTGCATTTTTCGGTGTTGAACACCATCAAGTTCTTGTCCACCCATTTCATGAGCCTGTCAAGCTCTGCCTGGATTGCCCTCCTGTCCTCAGGTGTGGATGCTTTACCCCAGAGTTTGGTGCCGTCAGCAAACTTGGCCAGCCCACTGCTGACATCAATGTCCACATCATTAATGAAGATGTTAAAAAGTAAAGTAGACTTTGCTTGCGCATCCAGGATTGCTCCCTTGAGGAGCAACCACTCATCCTGAACTGCCCTCCCCTTTGGGTGGATTCCATTGTGCATGGAATCACCAGAAATAAAAACTTATTAAAAATGAAATGCTTAAATTAAACTTTAAAAAAAAAAAGGTTGACGGTTTTTACTTACCCTTTGTGCCCTCTGTGTACTTTAAGTAGATCCCTACCCATAATATGCATAATGCATGTAATTTTGTTGTTGGTTACCATCATACCTTAATTGAACATGTGGTTGGTAGGCTTCTGGAACAAGGAATGCTAGTCAGCCGATTGTCATTCCCAGCCCTGGGAGTGCACCAGAGCTTTTCAAGACCGGTGTGCTTTCAGTGCGGGGAGCACTGGACACCCACCTTGCTACTTGCCAGTGCAGGAGGTGCCTGGGATTATGATCTCAGGCTCCGTCTGCCCTGGCGAAAGGTATGATTGGGGTCTGATTCCCAATCCCACAGTCACATCTTCTGCCATGCATGTATAGCATAGCAGGAGGTGTGATGGCTGGGATCAAGGATCAGACCCAATCGCACCTTTAAGTAAGCATTTGTCAGTGGCCCCAGTTTCATAGTTGTTAGGGGCTGGAAGGGACCTTACAGATCATAGGGACCAGCCCTCTTGCATGTGGGCAGGAAAGACTGCTGGGATCAAATGATCCCAGCAAGATGGGTGTCAAGTTACTTTCTATAAAAGGATAGATTTTTTTTTTTTTCATTCTGCCTTTCAAAAATGACATTTACACTTTATTCCAGGGAGCATATGAGAGAAAATATGGTATTTTTGTTTAAAAGAAATTGTTAATATGTGAAAGCAAAACTTGCTATCAAATAATTTGGGGTGAACATTGGACCCAAACTGATGTTGCATTCCTAAAGGCTCTGGGGTATTACTGTACAGTTTTGTACACTTAACTCCTGCAGATGTGAGACAGCATCTTGCATTCAGGTTCATTGCAGATTATGATTGTCAAATCCACATCACTCAAATTTTTTTTAAACCTGCCATTTAGTACTTAACCTCCAATACCTATGTTTGAGCACTGTGGTCTGCCTTGCTCTAGGCAACTGTGTGATTCTGCCCCATAAAAAGAGTGTGTTGACTGTAGCTCCACAAGAAAAGTTTGCTAATTTATAAGGAAAAATGTTTCTACATGAGTATTACAAACACTGGAAGGAAAAGTGAAAATTAACTAATTTTAAGCTGTCTAAAAAGTAGTCTTTTTTATATTTTTCTTGTCTCCTTACTCTTGGGTTCTGAAAACTTCCAGTAACTGCACAAGAAGATTCTATATGGTTTTTTTCTATTAACAAAATAACCATTGCTTTGGACCTGTCTCTCTGGTACTTCATTTACAGCAAATGCAACTGCCAGTGCTAATATATTCACTTAAGTGTTTGAGGGGTATGTGACACTGCAGTTTCTTTATAAAGAATTGTTCGCTTGGGCAAAGCAAGCAGTCTTACTGTCTTAGGCATCAGAATTAGTGAGCAAGTTATGAAACAAATGTTGTGTTTTTCAGTACAACGGGATGTGTTTACAAGGACCTGGCGGTGTTCCTGGACGGGATGGGAGCCCTGGAATCAATGGAATCCCAGGGACACCAGGAATCCCTGGTCGAGATGGGCTCAAAGGTGAAAAAGGAGAGTGTATGCGGGAGAGCATTGAGGAGTCTTGGACGCCCAACTTCAAACAGTGTTCATGGAGCGCATTGAACTATGGCATAGACCTTGGGAAAATAGCAGTAAGTTAGTCCCATAAGGAACCTTATGTTCTTACATTCAGGAGCACCACAGCACATGGTGAAGATGCTTGTCTATAGAGATGCTTTTAAAATGCACATTTCCAGTGAGAACTTCCTTTTGTTCTTGTGAGTGGTCTCATTTAGAGATTTAGTTTAGGCTCATTCCTACTATACTTAATAGATGACTAGGCACCTGTATTACTCATTTCTGTGATAGTTTCAGGTGAAAGACTGAGGTGGTCTGATGGTACATGCAGCAGATCTTGGGTGAGGTAGTCTCATGGTATATGCAGCAGATGGTAGGGTCAGCACCCCCTTCTGAAGCAAGAGGCTGGAAGCTGTGCTATGGCAAAGCAGTAGGTAAACAGGCTGAGGTTTTCAGCGTGCACTACAGAGCTGACCCATGGGAGAGGTTTGAGGTTGAAATTATGAAACAGATAAATGAAACTAGGAAGCACAAAATGACTTTGTTAGTGTAGTTTTTGAGGCAACTTAGCTGTTGGGCATTACTTCAGCAAGAGTCAACTAGACGTGGCCTCTTTTGCCAATTTCTCAGACTGGAAATGGGTGCAAACCTTTAATGATGGAATTTTAAAATAAGAAAACACAAAAGTTTGATGTAGCAAGACTGCCCAAGAAGCAAACAAAAATCCTAGCCTCAGAACAACTAGGTGAAACTGCTGCTATGTTACAAGAACCACCCCTAGAGTAACAAGTAGTATTTACTTCAGAATGGCCCATAGGTTGAAGTTCTTTAGCACTTTGTGGGAAAAGCAACGTATTTTAGGAAAGAAAAAAGTTTCTTACCCAGCTTTGTAACCTGCATCAGAATTAAGAGAACTTTATGGTTTTTACTGATTTTTGTGATTGCTAAACCCAGGGTGCCTACTAAGGAGAACTCATAACAATGTTATATCAGGAGTTAGAAGTCAGGTTTGGATATACTTACCTTGCTTAGAACCACAGTAATATAGAACAGCAGCTTTCCACCAACTTTTCCTGGCTGCTATTTGATGTGGCCTGTGGACTGGCTTGAGGGAACTGATAACATCATTAATATTTGCGAGGAAGGGAAGGTGCTTCTGAGGTCCAGAAAACATAGAAAGATATTTAGATACTTAACCTTCCAGCATGCTCCTTACCCTCTTTGGTGCGTTTGAAATACAGTTGAGAATTTTGTTGTGGCATGCCTCCCCTCCCCCGTTTTTATTTTTTTTTTTCAGTGAATGGGGGAGAGGGTGGTTAGTGTATTCCCAAACTAGTTAGTAGAAATAGGTTCAGAAATTAATGCATTGCAGTAGCCAACGATTTTCCTTTCTCTTCTATTAGGAATGCACATTCACAAAGATGCGCTCTAACAGCGCACTGCGAGTTCTCTTCAGTGGCTCACTTCGACTCAAATGTAAAAGTGCCTGCTGCCAGCGCTGGTATTTTACGTTTAATGGCGCTGAATGCTCTGGGCCACTTCCAATTGAAGCTATAATTTATTTAGATCAAGGAAGCCCCGAGTTGAATTCTACTATTAATATACATCGTACTTCTTCAGGTATGTATGTCAAGGCTATGTGAGTAGGGATAGATTGAAAAAAGTGTCTCTGAGCACAGTGGGAATCCTATAGAAAGGTGCACATTAGAAACCTTGAAGGTGCCTGAAGGGGAAGCAGAGGTTCCTGGATTACTAAATACAGCACTTGCATTAATTCTGTTGTGGGTTTGGGTTTACAGTTGAGTTCCATTTTTACTGTGGTACTTGCTTTAGTCAGACTTCATATCCTAGAACAGGGGTGTCCAACCTTTTTGAATGTGGGGCCAGATCACAAACTTTTTATCACCCAGTGGGCCGCGAGCCATATTCAAAGACCTCACAGGAAGTGATATGACATCAGGAAGTGATGTCACATGACCTTTGACACCAATGAAGGTCTCAAGAATATATGAAAGGGTCAAGAGTAAACTTTAAAAGTGGGCTCTCCTTTAAAGGAGAAAAACATAACTGTGGCTTTTCTCTTGTGGGCTGGCAGAGTTCCAGCCTGCAAGGTTCTACTTGGGGGCCCCCATATTGCACACGCTGGGGCACTGGGGGCTGGAGGTTGGAGCAGTGAGGGACACTGGGTTGGGACTGTGAAAGGCAGGGACCACCCCCCAACATGCAGACAGGCGCCGGGAGCCCACAGTCACTGGCCCGGCCCTGGGGGAGGCGCAGTCTTCCTGCCCCGGCCAGGCAGGAGGCAGCAGAGGCAGATGATGAGGGCGAGCCCAGCTGCCACACCGCCTCCGTGGGTCTGCATCGCCGGGCTGTAGGGAGCCAGAGCAGGAGGCAGGTGGCACCTTGGGGCGCAGTGAGCGCAGACTCTGCCCAGGGCTGCTCCACACGGCGCAGCCAATGCCGACAGCCTGGCGGGAGGAGGCACCTGCCTGCACCGCTTCGCCTCCACCAGCGACCTGGGGCCGGGTGGTCAAGCTGGACTACCTCTCACCTGCGGGCGGGGAGTGGCAGCTTCCCTATGTGGTGCTGGGAGGAAGCAGGCCGGGTTTGCACTCCTCTTCCCACACGCACCGCATCGGCAACATCAAGCTGACATGGTGCATGTGGGAACTTTGTCCCTTCCCCAGCCCTTCAGCAGCCATTAGGAAGCTGCTGAGGGGCTGGGGGAGGGACAAGGGGCAGGAACGATTTGTTTCCTGTCGCAGCACTGCGGGCCACAGAAAATGCCTTGGCGGGCTGCATGTTGGATAAGCCTGTCCTAGAAGTTATAAACATAAGAGAATGACCTCTAATCAAATTGACTGACCTTTGACATAATACCCACAATTGTTTTAAATTACTGTAAAGGGGCATACTGTATGAAGCCAGCAGCTCAGCTCTTTGTGGAAAGAGACACTGCTTTCCTCTAAACAGTACAGCTGCTTGCATATGTTTAAAGAAAATTAAAAAAAAAGCAGCAGCAGAAAACATTCTTTACCAGAAGCAACAATATTACCTTGACCTGGCTCTGTAGCATCTGTATAGATTGGGTGCATTAAAAAGTGTCAAAAACCCTGCTATCTAAAGCTGGGTCAGTTGGCTGTTAGATAAAAGCACCAAAATGCCCTCCTCAAGCTTCTGATCTGTGTTGACACTGGGCAACCCAGGTCTGTGGTAATGGACCCCTTCCTTAAATTTAAGTGCAGGTTTTTTTGTGTTTAACAGCTGCAAGCACTGTATGTCTTCAGTAACAAAAATGGTGAGACCCTCTCTGTATAACCACCATGGACTGTTTTGGAAGGGGTCCATTACCACTATCTAGTCATCTCTGATTACTGCTGCCAATGTAGTGGAGACTGACAAAAGTGGAATGCTCATGCATGATTCAAAAGCCTAATTCCTATAGCAGTATCATTAAAAGACACTTTGGCTAGTTTTAGACTATCTTGCTACATCTATTTTCTACTGAGGCCAAGATATACTGTGATGGGCTTTTACCTTTTTAGAGAATTATCCAGTTAAACATAAAAATGAATAAAATTTTAACACTAGCAATATGGCACCCCTAACTTCAGATAGTTATGGTAAACTGCTGTTCTTTGGTTTAAAAGTTAAGGGAATATTAGGCAATATTATGTTGATTGAAATAATGTTTTCTCTTTAAACAGTGGAAGGATTATGTGAAGGAATCAATGCTGGGTTGGTGGATATTGCTATCTGGGTTGGTACTTGTTCAGATTATCCAAGAGGAGATGCTTCTACAGGATGGAATTCAGTCTCTCGTATCATAATAGAAGAGATGCCAAAATAGATTTTTTTCCAACACCTATTTTAACCCATCATCTCCAAGACTGTATCAGATTTTTGACATACATTGCATACAATTTACTTTGAAAATTTATTATTTCTATAATTTTGATAACTATTGAACAGAAGGCACAGGTTTGCTTAAGTTTAACACAAGTTCTTATGATAGTGTTTTAGCACAGAAATATCTGAAACAAGCTTATTAAAGTCTTTTTATTCATCGGTCAAACTTAGGTATGGAAATGTATCACCTTCTTGTAATAGCTGAAATTACAGCTTTTTATATCTTAAATAAACACACTTTTACAAAACAAGCAGGATATTTTATTGTCAGTGGAATGCAAAGAGTTTTTCAATGGCTATGACGACAAGTGCATCAGTATGTACAATTTTTGATACTCAGAATTTTACAGGAAGATCTGGAGAAAACACTAAACTTTAGCCTTCATTTCAGATTTTAAATGCATTACTTATCCTAGATTATATTATACAACCTTACTATGAACCATCGACTTCAGTGAGAACTTGCTCAGGGACAATTTTAACAGAACAAGTTCAGCAGGCCTTCAAACTCTTTTCCTGCTCAATTCAGTCAGTTGTTAAGAGGTTTTTGGCACCCCCTGTTTTCAGTATATTTGAGAATAATAAATGTGCAGACAGTAATAGTAAACAATTTTACTGGTATAAACTAGTGAGTTATTTTAGTGTTATTTCAGTTTATCAACTAACTTGGATAAGAGACACAAAATTATTAAATAAATACTTGCATTGCAAGGAAAGAAGACAATAACTATTTAAGGATAGGCTCAAATGCTTTGAGCTTTATGGCTTCAGGAAGGTGTGCAAATAATTGTTAAAAACTAAATCTCTTTAAAAAAAAAAACTATGCAGTCAGTCTCTTAAGACTAGATAATAAATGATCATACCGACCATTCAACAACTCACAGCTATGTAAAACATGCTAAACAGTCACTCCAACAGTACAATATGTCCAATGACAGTACCAAATAAATAGTTTTTGTTTTAATTATTACAAAATATTTAGGAAGGAAAATTGCTTGGAACATGAAAGCCAGTTCTGTACTAAAGACGTACGAAATCAAAGGAAATTACAAAAGCATGTATAACATGCAAAAATGTAACAGCTGCATCTCTCAGATCTTTTTTAAATGCCCATGTCAGTCTGTCAAGTTATACAATATTTGCTTTTCAGACTGCCCCTGCATCTCTTCAGTTCCCAGCTCCTAATTTCAGTTTTATTCCTGTAGAACTAACCCACTTCAAAACCAAGGGCAGCCAAGTTTTAATTCTTGGAAGCAATGGATGCAATGCTGCTGAGCACTAGCAAGCTATGAAGCTGGCATTTCTCTCCCAAGAAGTTTGTCCTTTGCCCATTTTCACTGTTGTGATTGGTAGACTTCAGAGTAGTTCTAAGCCTTGCACTGAATGATTAATAGCTCAATGCCCTATTCAATCAGTTCTACATGCTAGCACACAGCTTTTTAAAAAAAAACCACAAAAACAACCCACTTCATAAGGCACAAGTTAACACCCATTAAAGAGTAATTAGTTAATATAGTAATTCACCTGGTGACCTTTAAAGTACACATGAAAGCAAGTAGACCCCATCTCTCATCATTTTCAAAATGAAGAAGTTCAGTTAAGAGTGAGTGTGTGTATAAAAGAAATAAACACTACTGAAGAAAATATTCCCCTTCTACTGCAAAGGAGCTCTTTGGATGGCTCACTTAAGTATTTTAAATTAATTTTTGTTTCCTAAGGTCCAGTCTTGTAAGCTAAAACTAGTTCTGTATGTGTAAACTAAATCTTACTCAGATCAGTCATGGGTTCCTGATAGATTCTCTCATTATTGCATAGCAAACTTGCCAAGTTTCTTCAGGAACAGAGACTGCAGGTCAGCTGTCTGGCTTGTAGAGATTATCTAACCTGCATTCTGCATAAGTGTTGCTCAGATTTATTAGTTCCTGTCTCCCTCAGTTAACTGATATTTTACACAAATCCACTGAATGTCTTATACCACTAGTTAGAAGCCTGATTATTACTAATGATAGTTTTTCCAGATGCAGAATTAAGAAAAACAGACCACTGAAAAGCATTTCCCTTGAAGAATGTGTTTGTTCCCTTGCTTTTTTTACAAATTAATTTCTGTGAAACGTACTTTCATCCGCTTATTGGGCAAAGCACTGCAACAGATTAGAAAAGGGATACATGACACCTGGTCTGTGTAGCTTGTGACCCTGCCCAGTTCCAGGAGGTGAGGAGCTGTACCTGTGCTGCTTCTCCTTGCCTTCTCAGCTCTACTCAGATGTGGGCCAAATGGCTTCAGCAGCCTGTTTGCAGCTGGGGGCTTTACCTGCAAAGGGGGCTAGGCAGCTGGGAGCTGCACCTGTACTGCCACTTCCCATGGCCTCCTGCTCTCTAGCATGGGTGCAGCTCCTAGCTTTCTGGCCTTGGTTCAGGGAAAGTCCTGTCCCCAGAGGCAGCCCCAAAAGCCACTTAGCCTGTGCCGGACTGGAGGCTAGTTGTTCTGGTGCACAGCTTACAGAAGGTTGCTGGCTCCTGGGTGAGAACAGTCATTCCCTTAAATTATAAAAGAGAAAGCATCTGTTTTTTTCCTCCTTAAATAAAAAAAGCCTTCTCCTGTTCAAGCTAGTTTTGAGACCACATAGGGACATGTACACTCTGCTAGCTATCAGACCATAATGCTCAAAAGAAAGAAAGATCATCTGCACTGAAAAAGCCATACTCCATATTAGAAAAAATGTAGTTTACAAAAATAAGCACCAAGTTTTGTTTTTTAAAATTAAGTCCATCTAAACATCCATTTATTACATTATCCCAGAGTTTGAATGTAATGCCATTAACAAAGATACGAAGAAGAAGTGGAGTACATGGCCAGTGACAGATTAAAATGACTTTGGTTTGATGCAGCAAAAATGCCCCATTTTGCAAGATGCTGTGGGTGTTATCCTAAAACTGGGACTTCAGCAGATTATGAAACATGCAGAGTAGACAGCATGCCCCTCCCACTATGCTGTACTGGAGCAAACCAAACCTCTGCCTTTTTATACTGTACCCAGCTGCCTCATCTCAAGCAACCCTTGCTGCAGTGGAGGACACTGGCTTGGTACATTCTGAGCAATGAAACTTATCTGCAATTTGTCAGGATTTAGGAGATCCTGAATTTCACTGAGAAGTGTATATACAATTTCACAAGGAGACAGCAGACAGAGGACCTGCATTAGCAGATTTGAAAGCCATCAAAATTTTGACACTACACTGTGGACACCAGGTGCAGCTTTATTAGAGAGAAGTAGAAGTTAGCTCCCTTTACTTTTCTGAGGGATCAGTTCAAAGGACTAAGATAATCAGAGCTGTTCCAAGACTGTTTTTGCCCAGCCACCATATTATTTCAGTTCCACGCAGAGGTTGATTCTCAGAGAAGAGGTAAATGGAGTGATCTGGGGACATTACTGCACAAGATAAGGAAGCCAGAGCTGCTGTCTCCAAATTCTCTCATCAAATCACTAGATCAATCCACAATCAAGACAGATTTGTGTACAATATTGTCCTAGATGAAAAAATACTTTAAAACAAAGGATAATTTTTTCTTGATGCAAATGTGCCTACCTTTAATTACTCTTCTTTTTTAAACCAAGCAAAAAACTAGATACATTTTCATACATTGCAAAGGTAATACAACAGGCAGGAGTCACTCTGATCACATTGGGAACGATCCCTTTATAAAATCCTTGAACTCCTTCTTTCCTTTAAAGACAAAAAAAGTATATTTACTTTTACCATAAAAAAGAAGAGTAAAACAAATACAGAACCCTCAGGATGTCTTTGCTTTATGTATTTTAGAGTCACTTTAGATTAAAGCTATATTTCCAGATTTATGGATCTTTTTATTCTTTAAGCTGAAAGAATAAAATTTGAAAAAACTCACTCTTTTAATTGACCTGTAAAACTTTCTGTGCAGATGTCATTTATTGCACTCTTCTCTTCCCGTATTTTTAGATTCTTGCCTGCTTTTACAGCGTGATACAAAGAATGTATGCCGATCTGAATCCACACATCCTTATTCTAGAAAATTTAATACATCCTAACTCCCATCCTAAACTGATAAAGCTTAAGGGCTTTGCTGAACTGAGGCATTAACAGCTGCGAGGAGACTGAGGGGCAACAGTTCTGTTTAGTGAGCTGTAGTTGATAATCTTTTATAGTGGGGGAAAGAAAGCATCACCTCCAGACCTTTCTGGTCTCACTGGCCAATAACTAAGGACCTCCAGCCATTCCCATCTGCAGATACACCATCTATGTTAATGCTGTGGAAATTGAGAGCGCCCATTTAATGCAAGAGGCACTTTTGTGCCTAACTCTGAGACAGATTTTACATTAGAGTATATGGGGCTCAGTTTCTCACCTTTTTATGTAATACAAGTCAATAACAGGTTTGTCAGGCTAAATTGTGTGTTCACTTATACCCGTCTCTTGTCTTCACACGTAACCCTCAAATGACACCCATAAAACTCCAGACTGGAGTAGCTTTGTACAGCTGTAATCTAATCTAGTTCTAGCTGGGTTAGTTCTGCAGGACTAAGCAAAATGCAGTAGCAGGAAACCCCTCATCACTAGAAGCCAGCAGATACAGCTTTGACTACACAGGGTGGTTTCATTTACAGTGGAACTGTGCTTTTAGTTCTACAAGCCTACCTCCATGTCCTGCGGATAACATCAACCACTCCAGAGTACGTATTGTGCTGATCCTGAAGACGAGCTCGTACTACTTGATATGGATATGTTGCTGACACAGCAAATATTTTGGATAGTGCAGCCATTGTAATGTATTCTGCAGTGTTCTAAAATAAAAATTACTAAATTTAGGTTAAATCAAGTTACAGACAACAAAATAAGATGCTGGGAAATATCAAACTGCTTTTGAAAGTCTGAGCTAAACAATACCCTGTTTTTTCCTCCCTAAGATACATATATACACTGTAACAAAATTTACTTATTACACATTAATACATACCACATCAGGTACCAACACAAATTTCACTCGTAAACAAAAGCGTACATAAAAATATCTGCACAGATTTTACCTTTTTCTGTTTGTAACTGTAAAATTAGAGGTGTTCCAAAAGGAAAACAAATTTTTAAAACTCCAAATTTTCAGTCATAAAATGCTCAGCAAAATTGAAGTGGATTTCCCCAATATGTGAGAACAATGCTAACTGGCTAGCAAGGAAATAATTACTTTTACCAAGTAAGTCGAAAGTGAAAAAATATCAGTATTTTCCTTTTTTTGTGCTTTATAATCTGTCACAAATTCTGTCAAAACCTACTAAAATGACAACTGTAGAAACAACAATCATATCCAACCCCTGTTCTAGACATATAGCTCTAGCGTCCAAATGCTCCCAGACCATAAGAGATGTTTTCTTTTCAGCCTTCTTACCAATTTTGTATCTGATGGTCTGTTTTTATATTTACTGTATCTTGTTTTCAAATCCTCATATGCCATGAATTGAAGTGCACCATGTGAAGTTCCGAACAGACCAGGCACAAATCCCTAAAACATATAGGCAAAGAAAAATCACACAGGTTAAACTGCAGCCCCAGAAAGACAGGCACCCTGTTAGATCAGCTAATGCTCACATATAGCCCCTACCATAAAATATGTACCAAAAAATACATTTACAATATAGTAAGAGTTATAGTCTACAGCAGGGGTGGGCAAAATGAAGCCTGAGGGCTGGATGTGGCTCGCCAGACCCTTTTATCTGGCCCACAGGGCCCTTAAAAAATTTAGAAAATTAATATTTATCTGTCCCTGGCTGCTTATCATGCGGCCCTTGATGGCTTGCCAAAACTCAGTAAGCAGCCCTCCCCACAAACTAATCACCCTCCCCTGGTCTACAGGCACGTTTAGGTCTGTTGTCCAGACACTAGAACATGTACATACAGCCGACCAAGATGAGCAATTATGGTCTTTCAAACAATGTTCTTCTATGATTCAGGGTACAGGTGATGGGAGTCAGGGTAAGAAGCTAATGGGATGTATACAAATCTCAGCTACCCAGTACAATCACTAATGTGCCAGTTTTCAAAAAGGGCAGGCTGGTTTAGTTATCAGCAGGGACTGTGGTTTTCTGTTTAAAAATCCCAAATTCTCACTTCCAACCTGTCCTGCATGGGGCGCCGGCCACAGGGCGAGCTAGGGGCTGCTTTTCCCTGCGCTCAGCACTAGCTTGTAACCTGACCCCACTGCCAGCCTGGGCCCTGTGCTGGCTCTGGGCTCGCCCATGGGGGCTGCACGTGGCAGCAGCAGCTGTGCTGGGCAGTGTTTGCTGCTGCCCACCTGGAGCTCTCATGCTCAGCAGCACAGAGGCTGTGGTGGCAAACACTGCCTGGTGTGGCAAACAGGGGGGATGGGTTACAAGGTGGTGATGAGCATGGTGGGGGGGAAAATCAGCCCCTTGCCTGCCCCATGGCTAGCACCCCATGCTGCAGCCACTCGCAGCCCGCCTAGGGCTGTCTGTGCCTGCTCCGGATAGCCCCATGCAGGCTGTGGGCAGCTGCAGAAGGGAGCACTGGCCACAGGGTGGGGAAGGGCCGCTTTTCTCCATGCTGGGAAGGAGCAGGGAAGGACCCTGGGGAAAAGCTGAGTGGGGGGCGGGGAATGGCCAGCATTCCCTGCTGCAGCTGCTTGCAGCCTGTGCAGGGCTGTCCAGAGCAGGCACAGACAGCCTTAGGCAGGCTGCGAGTGGATGCACCATGGGGCACCAACTACGGAGCAAGGGAGGGGCTGCTTCCCCCCGCTCCACTCAGCTTTTCCCCAGGCTCCTTCCCTGCCCTTCCCACCACTTGGTCCTTATCTGTTGGTTCCGGCACGGGGCAGCCACGTGCTCCCAGGTCACAAGCCCCCACTTGGTCTTCCAGCTGGTGGAGCAGGGCCAGGTGGGCCCTGCTGTTGCAGAAGCCTGCTGGGGCTTCCCCTGGGTCCTACTGCCCTTGGTTCCTGTCATTTTTGACAGGAACCAAGGGCAGAGAAATATTAATTTTCTAAATTTTTAAGGGAACCCACGGGCCTGACAGAATGACCTCGCAGGCCGGATGTGGCCCGCAGGCCATATTGACCACCCCTGACCTAGATACTGGCACATTAGCATTCTCCCAATCTTTGGGAATTTTCCTAGCATTCCAGCATTGATTAAATTAACACCAGTGGCCCTGTGGTCTCCTTGACCAACTTATACCAACTCCTCCAAATACGGAGGTGAGCAGTCAGGGAGAAAGCCTAACTATAGCCTATGGTGTAGTCTGTTTATTATAGCCAGACACCTGGAGAGTCCCAGCCTGGACTAGAATGAGTTGAAGCAACCATAATCTGAAGATAAAGTTGCTTGGAGTAGATTGTTAGATGGGGTGCCAGGATTCTACAAAGGTCACTTCCTGTACAGAACAGCTGTTGCAGGCAAGTCATTTGTTCCAGGCAAGAAAATACTTTGCTCAGATTCCCCAGCTGCAGATCAGTGAGTGAGAGAACTGCTTGGTGTCAAAGCAATGCTTATTAAACCACATGAAAATTCTTAATGGCCATTCGTTGGAGAGAGTTTAAGTAGGTCCAACAAGTGCAAGAAATAAGAACCTGTGTTCATAGGACAGAACATGAAGCCAGGCAAACAAAAAGAATCTCTATCAATTCTGGGTTAGGAACAAGGTATTTCACTTACTCCTAAATCTGCCAAAGCCTGGCATTCATAAGCATCTGCTTTCAGAATAATGGGATTAGATTTCCCTCAGCAAATAGAAGAGGTGAATGCTCAGTAACCTAATCATTATTCCCCATGCAAGAGACCATGTTTCTTCACATTAGCGCCAACCGAATCCAAAAGGCCCAGAGTTCTTCAGGCCCCTCCAGAACTGGTAATTACCCTGATGTCAGAGCTTTGGGGAAAAGACATGCACTATGGAAGTCTAAACTAGCTACTGTTTCCCTAAATTCTCCCGGGAGCGCAGGGGTGCAAACAGGCATTTCTGTCTAGCCATATTTAAAATCCTATAAAGCACATGGGTTGCAAGCTGACAAGACCCAAAATGACAGATTGCGGAGTGGTGTGTGACTGCAGCACTATCCATTGTCATGGAGAAGGAAGGGGGAAAATTAATAACTGTTTTAGCTGAACTGTGTCTAAACTGATGATTTTCAAGAGAAAAAAAAAAGTCAGACAGGCAGAGACAGAGGACAACTACTTTCCATCTAATTCAGTCAGCAAGAGCAGCAAGCTGCAGCCCAACGTGTTCCGCCCTATCTTTTAGAAAACAAATGTTAAGTTGTTAAAATGCAGTTCTTGATCCTCCTTTCCATTTCAGTCATATTCCTCTCAAATGAGTGCCAGCCCACAATGCAAGTGTCCATACATATATTTGCAGTCTTCTCTTCATTGATTTCACTACACTTCAGCAGTCTGCTGGCTTTACTTTCCATTAAGCTTTTTTGCTGAAATCCTGAGGTGGGGAAACGATTAGACAGAAGAGAGGGTAGCTAAATCGGGACACGTAACAACTTCCCAGATGATAATATGTTTAGTAAGTCACCAAACCCACAGTGCCATGACATCCATGATAACTTCCAGAACTACTATCCATTAAATCGCAAATATTATTACCTTGTATAAACCACGTATGCCCTCCTTCTTGTATATCTTTGCAAGAGCATCAAACATTCCTTTGTATTGACGCTTTGACGGATTAACACCAGCCTCATACTGTAACACAAGCCGTGTCTTCGTTACCCATATTGGGTTTGTAATGCAAAGGGTCATGACTCCTGAGAACAGATGGAAGTTAGATTATTATGCCAGCTCTGAAAGTTTCTACCTGCTTGTTTAGTTCAGTACAGCACAAGCTTCTATGACAACAAAAGCTACTCATTCTAGAGGATTACTCGTGTTACTTACAACAAACAAAGTTTAAGTTTAAACACATGCCACTACCTCCCTTTTCTTCAGCCCTCAAGGTTGAGTGCCACAACTACCAAGTAAATAGCATTATGGCAGGCTAATCCCAAACTGGGACACAACTTTGCTAAAGTAGAAGCAACAGCTGATAGAATTTGAGGAGTCCATGCAGATGGCACATACTGCAGAAGCCAGGGGTCTCTGTCCATCTCTTGCAGAGGTGCTAGGGAAGATACCCCCTCCTTTGCTCCATCTTTGCACAACCCATAGTGGAACCTAAACAAACTAGTCATTTCATGTACTTCCAGATTTTCTGAGGTTGGTCTTCCAAGTGCATGCATTATCAAAATTGCTTAGTCCTGTAGCACAGCTGTTCAGCTATGAACCACAGATTTCTTCCAGTGACTCACCTGATATAGTGTTTTCCACTAATGTATAAACCCATATTTCAACAGTCAACCTACTCGTATAATTTGAGGTTTACATCCTAGTTTAATACATGGCTATCGACAAAATACAGAAATTTGATTTCTTGTCTGTGGTTATCAATTTTTCATTCCTAACACATGGTACAAGTTTCTCCACTTGAGAGGTCAGTCTAAGGAGCTTTAGAAAACCACTCCAAGTAGTGCTGCACCATACATTCTTCTTCAATATTAGAGGGGTTACATGTCCAGTCCAGTGCCTATTGAAGACATTCCATTCCAATGCTGGATTTCAATGGGTGCTGAATTAGGCCTTGGGTTGTCTTTTTTTAAGGGGAAAGTGTTCAAGGTAAACTTTAACATTATAGCAAAAATTGACAACAGTTCTGCTTTTTTACACACAGCCGCCTGGTCTGGAATTTGCAATTTTAATGTATATAAATTAGCTCATTCTTGCACAGGGCTGCAAAAAGTTTTAACTGTTGCTACTCATGAATACACGCAAGGAGTTCAGCCAGCCATCCCAACATCATTTATATATTTACATGCATTGAGCAAGTGCAGTTGAACCAAAACACTTATACTTGCCACCTGGACAAAAGACAGCACTGACAGACAAACACAAAAAACAGCATATGGACAGGCTAGAAGTAAATGTCAATCTTATCTGCATTTTCCTCACCAGCCTCTGCAGCTGACACTAGGTGTTCAGTTGCACTAAGACTTTCTAGCTTCTCCTCCTTCTTGTAGGCTTTGATGGCATTATAGCTGGAAGAAATGAAATAAATTTAGGTAGAGATGAGAAAAATCCAGATTGCTTAGATTCAACATTAAGCAATGCCCTTACAGAGCAGAGGCAGAGGTGAACAATCTCAGATGCAATACAAATTACTGAATTAGTTTCAGCCTACTTAAAGCATACAGTTGTAGTAGACAGCTAGGTGATAAAAATATTACTGTTGATAAAAAAAATAGGACTGCCTCATCACATTTAAAATTGAAGAATTAGTTTGGATGAAATGCTAACAAGACAGAGGCCTCCTAGCAAGGTTTTATGAAAAGGCAGTCTATAATGTCATCAGCTTTATCTGCTGAACTGGTCCCCTGTCCTCTGGGTTAAATAAGCCATTGAGAGGTGAGCAATATGCAGTGAGATGAGAAGTGGAAATCTGAAAAGAATGAGGACTAGAAAACCAGTAGGAAAACTTTACATAAACAAGTAACTGGTTTCTTTGATTTCCTGTTGTCATTGAGTTAAGCAATTTACATTTTAGTAAATATAAAATGCAAGTGATATAACGTGGAACAGACCCTGAGGACCAAACAAAAACCCAAGAATTCTCTCAAAAAAATAAGCTAACTTGCAAAAACAGATTTGTCCAAGTACTAAATGCTTCCAACTTTAGCAGACTAAATCACTTCAGGAGCCAAATTAATTCCCGCAGATCAGTCTAAGGCTAAGTTGTTTTACCCCCACAAGGTTTATTTATATAGCGCAGCTTCTAGGCAAGATTCTTAGTGGATGAAACCAAAAAAACTACCAGTGCAGCTAGTTAACATTTCTGCAGCATCTTGTGCAGGCATTACACTTTACAAGTGTGTCATGTTGCTTTCCCCAGAAGTTTATATTACATATAAAGATATGAAACAGCAAGTGATGAGTGAGGGTAAATTATTCAGAAGTGATTTAGATGCCTCTGAAAGTTTTGCCTACAGATGATGTAGTTTGTAAAGCTGCATGAATCTTTCATACAATGTATTTTTATCTATTTACCTCCCTCAAAATGAAAGTGCCACCTACAGTCCATAATCACTTTGCATTAAACACCAAAGGTTTTCTGGTTCTACTTACAAGAAAAAGTACAGGCCCCAGGAAGCACCTGCACCCCACATGTTTGGAGTAACCCCCTGGTACAGGCCACGTAGTCCTTCCTGCTTCCAGACAGTGGTCAAACAGTGCAGAATCCCATTGTACTTTGGTCTAAATTCCAATCCATCACTCACTGAATAAAAGAGAGATTACACTGGAAAAACAATGTTCTAGAAAGAGTGAAGCCAAGTGGCATAAAACTACGATGCAAATACACCTCCCTGTTTATCTTGAAGATAACATGCACAGTTGAAGAAAATCACAGAGAATAAGCAAGCCTGACTAGCTGTATTCTGAAGGCACACAAGAATTATGGGCTAAGAGCTCATTAGGAGAGTGTCTTACCCTGGGTTGAAAGAGAAGTCTGGCTGACCTGTTCCAGGTAAGCAGTCCTTTCCTACCAATTTAAGATGAACTCTACTGCTGTGTGCTGCAGGCAAGCATCAGCATCGGCTTAAAACTGCCTCCTTTTCTTAGTGCCCTACAGCTCTGTGCAATCTCTAGCCTATAACCTTTAATTTTTTTGCAGGGGGACCACAAAAATGTTATTTCAAAAGAATGATTTTTTTGGTCCTTGTTCTTTGCAGGAAACCCCCAGTTACATGCACCATGTGTTGGAGGTATAATTCTCAAAGCATCATGACCCAGTACATTCGAAGTCAGGGTCCATAAGTGCATTCAGGTGGTCTAACCCCCTCACACTGCCACTGACTGGGTCACACAAGTGATTTAAGAAAAAAAAGAGATGCATCAAATTACTTCAATAAAGGGAAAAAGTAAATCCTGTCCCCTTCCCACCCTGCAGATGAATCCACTTTTCTCCTATTTGAGCAGAACTACCACAGGCAACTGGAAGGGAGGGCATGGAGGGGCCCCCACCCTCCCTGACAGGGCCCAGGAGCCTGGAGTGTCAAAGAGTGCTTGCTCTGCCAACCAGAGCACTGCCCCACCTCCCTCCCCCACG